CTCTGGAGCCCCAAGACGTGTCCGGCTCTGGATTTTCCTGCTGGAATCTTCAAGAACACAGGAGTGAGTCCTGTGGCTCCTCCAGCTCCTCCCACTCCAAGCTCTTCTGAGTAGTTGGGGCCTTTATGGGTCTTTTTAAAAATAATCGTTGAATCTTCGGATCTGGAAAGGCAAAATTATCGAGAGCAGCCAGTGACCTTTCTGGTGGTTCTCAATGTCTCTCCTCTACGCTTTTAGCTTTCGTTACCCCCAGGACAGTGAGTGCCTAATTATTTCTTGACTAATCGTGTCTCCAGGGTTCTGAGGAAATCTAGAAGCTTGTCCTCCATTACAGCTTCCAAATTAGTTTCTCTTTAGTTGGATGTGCTTTCTTTGTCTTTCCGTCTCAGTTCAGCCAAAAATAGTCTCTCAAACAGAGAGCTAAATTCTCTGAGATTTTGTTCACTCCAATTAACTTTTCTTAGGAGTCTGACTGTGTTAATGAGGTCTTTGCTCCTCAGGATCAGGGTCCTAGATTGCTGGGCTGATGTTTTTTATGCCAAACCACAGCTTTACCTTTTGTCCCCTATCAGTATGGGGGAGGGGCAGATAGAGACGGTGACAGAATCTGGTGAACCCAGACCCTGTAACTTATAAACCAAGTCCTTGGACATATTCATCTTCCATGAAAGCTGTGTTTTGTTTGTTGGTTGGTTGATTGTGTGTGTGTGTGTGTGTGTGTGTGTGTTGTAAATATGTGTGTGCTAGTGCTCATGTGTGTACACACAGAGAGGCCAGGTGTCAATCTTGGGTTGCTCCCTGCGAATGTTGTCCACCTTGTTTTTTTAAGATAAGGTCTCTCTGGCCTAGAACTTGCTGATTAGGCTAGGCGCCGGGCCCAGGAATCTGCCTGTCTCTGGGTGCTGAGGATTGACCTTGGAGTCTGGCTTTACTGACTGAGCCATCTCCCAAGCCAAGTACTAGGAGTTTAACAATGGTCATTAGGAGACAAAAATGCAGGCATATTCCCTCTTCCCTACTTCTGGGTTTCCACGAAAGTCAGTTGTGATCAGAACTGGTTCCTGGTTCTGATTGTCAAGTCCAGTGACAGACTTGCTCACCTTAGACCACTGTTGGTCCAATGAGCTGTTCTCACTTTTGCAACTACATGCACACGTCTCAAGGTATTTCACAGCCTGCAAGACAAATGGGAAAAACAGAAACCCAGAGAAATTTAGCCACAGGCCTGAGGTCACACAGCTGAACAGGGTCAGAGACACCACATCTCACTTTATAAAAGTTCTTGACCCCATTGATGACTTTGTAATAAACTTATGGTCCAAAGGCTGGACTTGGCCCAGCCTATGCCAGGAGTCTAGTTACATGAGCCTCGCTGGACTTGAGGCCAGGAGCTGGGCAAGTTCATCTGGCCTCCTCCAGGGACTACAGAGAATCAAGGGCTTGAGCTCCCTCCAAGCCTTGGCTGTGCCACTTTCTAGCTGTTTGGTGTAGGCTGAGTCCCTGTCACCTCCTGCTTCCAGTCAGGGAAATGATGTCCACTCACAGGTGGTGCTGAAGGTCTTTGGTTCAGTCCTCCAGAAGCACCAGCACCCTCCTTTCTCCTTCCCTCCCCTGTTTTTCCTCATCTCCCTCTCCTTCCCTTCTCCTTCTTTTGCTTTCTTTTTTCCCCTTGCCCCTCCTGCCTCAATCCTGTTTGATCCAGTCGCCTGCAACCCCACCAGTCAAACCTCAGTGCCTGAAGCACTTCTAGAGGCACTGTAGTCACATGAGAGGGAACTTCAGAACTCTGAGAGTCACGCTGAGGATGAGCACACTGGGCTGCCATTCACTGTGACAGGGCCTGAGATACTGACTTCTGAAGAAAAGAGTGTTCTCTTGGCCGGTGGTTGTAGGGGTATCAGTCTGTGCAGAGCACTCCTGTGACTTTCAGGCCTCATTTGGGCACTCCAGATGGCTATGATGGGAGTGTGTGGGAAGTTAAACAGTTCACTGCATGATTGGCAAGTAAAAGAGGTGGAGGAGTCAGGGTCCCACAGTCCCCTTCCCAGGCACATGTTTGATGATCGATTTTTCTCCTAGCCTTGCCTCTTAAGGGTTTCATCTCCTTCCAGTAACCCCATACTGGGAACTAGGCCTTTAGCACACAGGCCTCTAGGGGGCACTGAAGATCCAAACCACAATACCGGGAAGAGGCTGCTGTGAGGGAGCAAGTGGATAGCAGAGGTTTAAAGATGATCTGAGAGATGGTTCAGGGTTAGGAGCACTTGCTGCTCTTACTGAGGACCTGGGTTCAAACCCAGAACACATGTTTGGTGACTCACAACCAACTATAACTCTGGCTCCAGGGAATATGACTCCTTGTTCTGGCCTCTGCAGGTATCTACACACACACACACACACACACACACACACACACACACACCCCATTTTAAAAAAATGTTAACGATAAGAGTCACAGACTCCCTGTGAACTAACCATAGTAGAGATGAGATCTCTCTCTCTCTCTAAATCCAAAGCTTCTTTATAAAGTGTGACTTCAGGGGTGGGAGCCTGGGATTGTCTCGAGGTGGCCTTGCTGACCCTCCTTTCCCAGGACTCTTTCAGAGGCTTTCTGCTGATTATAGGGAGCATCTGTGGCAGAGCCGCTTGGGAGTTGGGCCCAGGGACTCTTGTCTTCCTGGGACCTAAATGCAGATCCCAGCTCTAACTGGTCCTGCTCTGACTGTGGACCTCTCTGTGTTTCAGAGATGACATCCGTGAGGTGGGGTGATGGGGGCTCCTTGGTCATGAGGCTGTGTGAAGATTTTGTCTTAATCATAGTGACACGGCTCAGTGAAGACAATGAATACATTTTAAGACATGCATTATGAAAGCATCCTGGAATATACATGTCCCAAATAAAATGTGTATGATGTCATTAGTTGGTGATGCAGTGTCATGGAGATACTGCAATATATACGGTCCTCTTATCTACTGAATCATTGTTATGCAAGACATGGCCATGCTTATTTTATCATATTTTTATACTTAGCTATTACTATGCTATAATGTGAATAACATATATAATACACAATATATAATATGTCACATATATATATCATATACATTAGAATAAACCAGGAATAACTGTATCCCCAGCAGGTGGGAAACTGAAACAGAAGGACTGTGGGCTTAAGGCCAGCCCAGGATGTTTAAGACCCCACTCAACAACAAAAACAAAACAATAAAAGAAAGAAACTTAACAGAATATATTTTATACACCACTCTAGAATATACAGTAATCATAAGAATAACACCTTAAAGTCTGGGCAGGCACAATCCGCCTAATGGAGTGACACCTGCCTCCAGGGCTGGCAGGACCAGGTAGAATGGTTTTCATTTAGGATAGCTCTGAGTTGATGGAGTGATGAATGGGGTAAGGACAAGCTTTGGGGAGGGAATGGTTGGTAGCCCTACGTCATCACAGGGTCTTCAATGCATGACTGGACACCCAGGCCAGGCACAGTGTGGCAGCCACACTGCGGGCTGCTGTGGTGATCCAGAACAGCACTGGGTGGCAGGCTTGTCCTGGTTTTAAGGACACCAAGTTCCTGAATTGTGGAGGAGGAACTGCTGGCTGAGTGCCCCTGTGTCTTCCCACGTCCTTGGCTATCCCGGAGTGACCCCAGTTACCTGGAATGCAGACTTGCCGCCCACCCTTGTCCCAGGGATCCCACTAGAGTCAGAGTGCCCAAGGCTTTCCAGAGGGTTCTGCACAGTATGCAGATGTGTCCCACCCCTTGGGATCCTGACACAGCAGACCAGACACTAGCCCAGAACACCCCCAATCATTTCTTACATCAGCCCTGCCTGGCCTGTCCCAGCAGCAGGAAAAAGGCAGCCACCAGCCCCATAAATCCTGTGGGAGGGGGGCAGTCACTGAAGGCTACGCTTCTTGGCCAGCTCTGTCCATAATCTCTCAGGGTCTCTCCCCAAATCTGGAAGCTAAGCATTTATTCCTAGTCTTTCCTCAAGGCCAGTCTAGGACCTTGGGACCCTTCATCTCCCTCTAGAGATGCTGAGGCCTCTCTCAATAGTCACCCCATACTGCTTGACCCCCAAGTCTAGACTGCCTAGCATACCCCATTATCATAAATTATTTCTTCCCAGGATCCTTTTTTCTGCAGTGATTTGGGTCTGAGCTGTCAGCAGACAAGACGACCTTCCCGGTAGGCCTGTACTCACGCAGACTAGAGTATCTGACCCGCACCCTACCACCATGTGGCCTTGAGCAAAATAGTCTCCTCTCCGGTAAGTCATCTTGACGTAAAAAAGTTGCCAGTAGTCCCTGTCCTACAGTGGGCAGGAGGATAGTGCTGAAGTTCCCAGCTAATTAATACTGTCTCTGCCATAAAAAGAAGCTTTCATTCATTCAATGTATACTGAACATGTTCTATGAGGCTAAGCCCCAGGACACAATGGTCTGCAAAGTCCAAGAGTGTACCAGCCTTCCTGAGAGAGCCATTTGATATAATCCACATGTACAGCAAGCATGTCAGAACACTGGCTGATTCACAGTTTTAAAGTCTCATATGTGACATAGTGTAGGGATCAGTAGTGGCTGTATCTGGCCACCAGAGATGCCACATCATGATCTCAGCAGGATACAGGCCTCTGTGTCTGGAGCCTGCACCTGAAATAGGGCCTTTACCCTGCAGGAGGGAAAGTTAGAAGAAGGTCATAGATGGAACACTTTCTCAGACTTTGCCCTCAGGCCCCGCCCCCTGCAACCTAGCAGGACAGGCAGATGCCACCGTGCATCTGCAGAGAACAGAAATGCTGGCATAATGACAAGAGTGGACATTACCTGTCCTGGTGACCCGTGGTCACCATGCTTTCACTGAGTAACTGAGTAACTCAGTTTTAGTGGGCGAACCTAGTAAAGGGGAGGGTAGGATTCAGGGACACTATAGTCTCTATCTTGTTGGAACAAAGTTACAAATTGTCGGCACTGCTTCTGCTTGGGGGAAACTATGTCAGAGCCCTTCCGGACCTGTCAGTATTAGCCGCCCACAACTTTTCTGAGTTGGGAACTGAGTGGTTCAGAGAGAGAGAAAAAAAATGCCCTAGTTTTGTAATTGGCTCCCATGGTGCTGCTCAACGGTTATTAAAATACGGACACAAAACCTCCCAGAGAAATCGCTCTGGGCCTCTATTTATCATGTGTGTCCTAAGACAAGCAAAGGCCATTCCGCGGAGTGTTAGCTACCGGATGCTTCAAGGTCAGATAATTAACTTTATCAGAAAGAGTTGGATCTGCGCAGGGGATCGGAAGGAGGGCTCGGGAGCTGCTCACTCGATGGAGCCCAAGGCATAGCTCTGGCTTCAGCCGGTGCTGCTCTCGCTCACATCTGAGACCGTCTCTCCCATCCCCAAAGCCTGCGCAGAGGTGGCAGGAGGTCAGCGAACACCCGGGACAATAGACTAAGGTCTCTCTTCGAGCCTGCACTGTGTATTTTTCTAGGGCAGTGGTTTTTTGCAGATGTGAGGCCAGCAGCAATAGCCTGCCCTTGGAACATTCTAGAAATCCCCATTCTCGGGCCCATCACCCAGAGACCCTGGGGTGTAACCCAGCCCTTTGTGGGTTGCAGGCACTCCGTGGCCACGTATGGTGCCCATGAAAGTCTTGTTCTGTAGAAGACAGCAGTAGGAAGTGAGGGTTGGGGTGCCACTCCGACGGGACTCCTGTCACGGAGGGGCTCCCTTTGGGAGCTGTGGGGCTCTAGGTGATGGCTGTTGAAGCTCTCAGGGCCACAGTCAGCAGCCGGCATGATAGCACTCAGGAGAACGAGGAGGAGATGGGAAGGAGGCAGAATCAGGTGAGCGGTCAGGGCCAGAGGGCAAGCTAACTCACTCAGCAAACATTTGCCAAGCTCCTGTTACGTGAGTTAAATGTCTGATCCTAGATTCACATCGTGGAAGGTCACATAATCATGGTGTTTGGAAGTGAGGCCTCGGAAAGGCTCATGGGTCCTAAGGGCTCAGTCCTCATGGAGTAATAGTCTTGTGGGTCACGAGAGATGGCTTTGCAATGAGAGCGAGCCCTATTGGCACGTTTGCTGTCTCACCCTGCGGTGTTCTGTGTCACCTCTGGATCCTGCAGAAGGCCCCTTGTCACTTGCAATCCCTTTACCCTAGGCACCCCAGCCTCCAAAACTACCAGGCAAAGGGTTTTTATTTGTTTTGTTGTTTTGTTTTTATAAATGACCTACTCTTGGGTACTCTGCTCTATTCGATTTTTAAATTTAATTTAATTTTTATTTATGTGTATGTGTGTGTGCTTGTACATGTGTGTGCAGGTGCCCTCTAGGACCAAAAGACAATGTATGGTCCTTTGGTTGTGAGTTAACCAAAGTGGGTGCTGGGAAATTCAGGTCCTCTGTGAGCAACAGCAAGTGCTTTTAACCACTGAGCCATCTCTCCAGCCCAGACTCTGTTCTGGACACTGGGAACAAGGGCAGCAGAGTATCAGAGCTCCTGCCCTTAGGAAGGGTGTGCACTTGCAGAATGAAGGGGCCTTGTGCTGTTGAAGGCAATGAAGGTGGTCACAAGAGGTGAGAAGGTGCTAGCTCAGAGGAAACGGCAGAATCACCATGCAAGGCTAGAGGAGGCCATGCATACATGATGTGTGGCACGTGGGGTGGGAGAGCTGGCTGACTCTACTTCTCTAGGTCAGGTAGGGTCCACTCTGAAATAGTATTCACCACTGCCTTCAGTGGCATCTCCCTTGGTGTAACAGGAAGGTCCTAACCATACAGGAAAACCAAAATTAATCTAGGCTCTGGAAGGGCAGCTCTAGACATCACTGGACCAGGCATTGTGAAAGGAGATGACATATTGCAGTTGAGCATGACCTAGGGGTAGGGCCTTTGGGCTACAACCAAGTCTACATTTATCGGTTTTGTGACTTAGGGAAACCCTGGCTCCAAAACACAGCATCTCCTCTAAAGGGAAGTGGGATTGCTGTTCTGGTATGAATGTCCCTCTCAAACCCTTCTGAAAATTCAGTTGCCATAGGGGAGGTTTCGAGAGGTAGGGTAGGGTCCTTAAGTGATGGCCCTGAGGGTTCTGCATTGTGAATAGAGGATGCTGTGACTACGGGTGTGGCTTCCTGATCTAAGCCCGTTGGCTTCACTGCTTCTTACCCACGCCTGCCCTTCTACCTTCTTCCACGTGATGATGGCGGCACAGAGCTCCCACTAGAAGCCTGCACCACGCTCAGGGCTTCTCAGCCTCCAAGACAGTGAGTCAGACAAACCTCTGCTGTTTATAAATTACCCAGTCTAGGGTGTTCTGTTACAACCAAAGTAGAACTGAGACTATGTCCACTGTAGGAAACATGTATGGGGTCTAGCCTCTGGAATAAGTCAGGTGACAGAGTCCAGAGTTGACCTTAAGTGGACAGTGAGAGACATGTGAATCACAAGCCATCATCAACTGAGTGACTGGCCACAATCTTCCCATCCTCTCTTCATCAAGCCTTGGTATTTCCCCCGTACAATGGATAGGATAGCCATCCGTGTCTATGGACAGACATAAAGGTTAGCGGAGGACTCTTGTACGCGTGCATATAGGATGCCGATGTTCAATGTCTTCCTCAGTTGCTTTCTACCTTTTATTCCGAGACAGGCCTAGCCACTGAACCGAAAGTTTACTGATACATTAGAATTGTTGGCCAGCAAGCCTAGGAATCCTTCTCTCTCCAGTTTCCCAAGACTGGAATTACAAGCATATGCCGTCACAGCTGGCTTTGTACACAGTGCTGGGGATTCAAACTCAGGGCCTCATGCTTCCACAGCAAGTGCCCTGCCCACAGAACCGGCTCTCTAGCCCCTGGAATGTGCAGTTCTTAGCATAGCATCTGGCAGAAGCTAAGCCATCACTAAATGATTGCTGCTGTTATGGTTGTCACTCTCATCATCGATACTTGTGGGCAGGGAGTGATGTCTCAGGACTGCTTGAGGGGTGTCCTGAGTGGTAATGTCTGTCCCCTGAGAAGCAGGAGGGGTCAAGAAGGCATTGGCCATAAAGAGAGCAGCAGAGGTTTGGAAAACACTGTTCTGGGGCAGACAGGAGATGAATTATGGTCATCTCTTCCCAGAAGCCTTCCTAGGTTTTTATGAAGGCTTCTTGTACAAACTGTGGTATGATAGTCTGTCCCTGTGTTGAAGTAAATGTCCCTGGATGCTAAAGCCCAGGAATGATCCAGCCTTATACTTTTGATGTGTGCAACAGTTACTTAAATGGAAAAAAAAGAATGACTGTAACCAAGAAGGAATTCTTAAATGAGTAAGTTGATTCACTGGCTAGTCCAAGAAGAAAGAAATTAAACTTGGAGGCAAGGTATCCTAGACCCCTGAAGCCTCATGACTGCACACCTCCCATCTAGACACAAGGTGGCGCCACCACCACCATGAAGACCTGCTTGCGTGGACTGAAGCAAAGGAGACCATCCGGTTCTTCAAGGGCAGGAACCTGCTTCTCTTGCCTCCAGGTTATCAGAGGAGCTTGCTGGTGGTGGAAGCAGCTCACAGCACAGTGTAGAGCTGAACCTTGCTGAGCTCTGGAATCCTTTCCTGAGATGCATGTGTCTCTCCTTTGGGAGATGGAGCAGTGAAATCCTTTCTCCATCATGAGATCAGCCCTCCTGGTCCAAGCAGCCACTACCTGGAAAGGGAAATGGGCTTTACTGTGCTCCTCAATCCCCTCCTTCAGTAGATCCTAGGTGGGAAAGCTCACCAAACAAGACCCATCTTCCCCATTTTGGAGCCATCCTCTTTGTTTTTGAACCATTCCAGATGTGCAGAGGGCCGCAGCTGCTGTACCATTGCAGAACTTACAATGATGTCTCAGCAGTTTGGTGCAGTCAGAATGTTTCCAGGACAGAGACAGCTCTCCAGCCCACTCTCCTTGGGCCTGCCAATCCATACAAACCCCCATTCTTTATTGCATTCTCTCGTTTGCTCCCCCAGTCTTCACACCAGAGTCCTTCACCCTGGCACACCTCTGTTTTCCAGAGAACTGCTCTTCTAAAGACTACAGGTCACACATGGCATGTTCTGGAACTGCAGGCTGGCTGCTGTTTTTGCCTTACTAGATTCAGGTTGCTTTTTTTTCCCAGAAGGAAAAATCCCAGAAATGAACCAGGGGTGATAGTGCGTACCTGTAGTCCCAACATGTTGGAGGCTTCCTAAGAAAATTATGAGTTCAAGGCCAGCTTGAACCCCCAGATACAGCACAGTTCCCTTTTGTTCAGTTAATGGTTATATGGACCTGATTTGATACTTGAGGAAGCACTGGCTGTGTGAAGGTCCTTCACCCTGGCTAATGTGACCATGTACCATGACAGGCTCTGAGGCTGGAGAACTGTGCCCTCTATCCCTTTCCAGAGGTTCCTTTTCAAGCCTTCGGAAGTTACCTCACATGCTGCGCCAACCAGCAGCCGGCTCAGGATTAGAGGGGTGCCTCTTGCTCCAGAGAGATTGTCTGGTCCTCTGGTTTTCTGCCTGTAAGCGTTAACCTCCTCAAGCCCTGAACGTCTCCCTTCTGCCTCCTCAGCTCAGGAGATTGAACCACCGGCCGGCATTTTCTGAGGCCAGGAAACTTCCACCAAAAAGGAAGCCCAACATCAAGAGCTCCCTCGGGGTCCCTGCACAGTGCTCCTGCTGCCTCAGAGCTGAAAGCCACTATTTCACGTAATTTTGTCTTTTCTTTTCAGTCAGTAGTTGTGATACTAGTGTTGCTGGTTGGGGTATTGATGGTGGTGCTGCTGGTGGTGGTGATGGCCATGTTGTTGCTGTTGTTGTTGCTGCTGATGGTCATGATGCTGTTGTGATCTTGGTGGTGTTGTTGGTGGTGGGGTGTCCGTGGTGCTGATGGTGTTGGGGGTGAAAGTGGTAGTGCTGTTGTTGGCAGTGGTGGCGGCAGTGGTGGTGGCAGCATTGTTGTGTGTAATCTGGTCCCTGTCAACAGGAGTCAAAGTCTCTGTTATTTGTTACTGAGTCCATCAGCAGGGAAACTGGCCTCTCGTGGTTTTAAATTCTTAGCACAAAGTACCTGTGTCAATGAGACTCCTCATTGCTGCGGCAAGCACCAGCAAGAAATAGGAAGAAAGATTTTATTTGGTTATGGTTTCAGAGGATAGCCTTCCAATTCTGTTTTTCTAGGCTTTGGTGAATCAGGGCATCATGGTGATCAGGAAGCAGAAAGGAGGTAGGAGGAGCAGGTACAGCCTCCAAAGTCACACCCCAGAGAGGGGGTGGAAGGGCAGGTATAGCCTTCAAAGTCATACCTCAGGGATCCCCTTCCCCAGTGAGGTACACCTCTGATGTTTCTACCAACCTCCAAAATAGTGCCACCACCTGTACCAGCCTTATGTTGGCACTTAACATCATGTTATTAAGTTACTAAAGTCCACAAGAACAGAGGATCTACAGGACAAATCCCTTCTTGTTACTAATTACCATAAACCCAACACAGAACCTGTCCCAGAACAGCTCTTAATGGTTAATAAATGCACGGATTGGTGGATGGATGGTTGAACGGATGGATGTATGAATGATGGGAGGATGTATGGAAGGATAGGTGGGTGGACGGATGGATGGGTGGATGATGGATGGATGGATGGATGGATAGGTGGGTGGAGGGATGGATGGGT